GGGTAAACATATCGAAAATCAGTGGCAACATCCTTAAGTACCATTGCGACCCTATCTCCATCAACACCAGTTTCAGGGTCCGATTTGGCAATAAGGTAGTCGCCTGTGACATGGTCCCCAAACTTCTTTGCATCGACCATGGATGATCCTCCTTTAGAGTAACCGGGTGGCTTGTACATCTTGGCCTTTGTACAGACATCACAGTAGGGATTCTTAGGAATATGGGTAAGCATATGTCGTTTGCTCTTAGCTTCAGCCTTGAGTGCGGCCTTACCCCTCTCCCTACGTCTTTCCATTTCCGGGTCACGACGGACTTCATCCCTTGAATCATCAACGTCATCAGGCTGGACCTCCCGGTCAGCTGGTGCAATGCCTTCTTCATCGGAGGGCGCATCGGCACCGGGATCGCCTGAGATGTCGGGTACAAGGTCGTCATCAAGCTTTGATGAATCACCACCTACGACAGCTGGTTCGTCATCTTCATATTCTTCGTCGTAAAGGTCTGGTGACGGGGGAGAATCCTCCTCTTCTATGAAGCCTGACTCGGACCCTGATGAACTAGCCATCACCTTAACTCTTTTCATGGGAGAACCATTGTTGCTGGATTTTGCCACTGTGGACACACTTGGTTGATTTGATTTGGAACATAGATATGGGACATAGTCTCTGACTTCAAGTTCCATGACCTTCCCATCAGGTGAAACTAATTTCGGCTTCTCATTCTTGGAGCCCCTCCACACGAAGTCAAACCCATCCTCGACGCACCTGAGACCAACTGATAAAACAGGAGGTGAACTTTGCACTAGGTACGGTGACACTGTAGCACTCAGCTCTGGGACTCTCACCTTGCCCTGCTTCATAGATGAACTTTCCCCATTTGCAGTGATGAGACGGATTGGATTATCGGAAAAGTAACCATAATGATCCGGCACATGGTGATCAGTGAGTAAATCTTGCGCACTACCGGTATCAACAATCCAATCGATAGAGGCTTCGAAACATCCATCAACGTACTCCTCGGATTTGGCAGGCATTGCAACTATTTCCTTTGGAATACAGTGATCACAACCAAACATGGTGTCACATTCATAGTTGCATTTGCAGACATTGTTCATTAACGAATTCTTGACTGCTCCTGCCAACATGTTCGCTGACAAACATGCGTCCTCTACGTCCCTTCGGTCAAACTCAAATGGATGGTTGATAGGAAAAGTTCTCTTGTATCTTCTTGAAGCTGGATTGATAGGCTCAAGGTCCCCCTTGGCAATGACTTGATACACATCATGATTGGTGTCAAACGTCACTGCTGGGCAACCGATCACGTCAATGGGTGGCATCAGGCATGCATTGGATACGGATGCTAACATCGAGGCAATCAGGCAGACGGCTGCTGGGGAAGCTTTGGGAGTGTCAGGCTTGCCTCTATTCCCCTTTGGGGAGCGGCTAGTCCTGGGACTCCTTGATCCCTTCTGCTTTGGCGAGCGGTCCCTGCCTTTTCCTGGACTTCTGCTGTTCCTTCGTCTGGATCCTTTCGAGTCATTGGACGAAGGCCCGGCAGGAGTGGCAGCACGAGGAGACTTGGTTTGCTTACCCTCGTGACTAAACCTGCAGTCATTGCCTCTGTTGCATCTTCCCTGTTTCCAAAACTTGCATGGCTGCTTCTTCTTGCTCTTATCATTCTTACCCCTTGACGGTGATCTGCCACGGTCGGATGAGGGTCGTGATTGACTTCTATCTTTCTTTGGTGGAGGCTTTTCATGTTTGAATGGGCAGGCATCATTCGTGCAGGTCCCTTTATTCCATTTGACACAGTATCCCTTTGGAATGTACCCAGTCTTCTCACCCACAGCCGGAGCTGCGCTGGACGACGAGGCACCGAGGGTTCTTGCAACTCGTTCACGATTGGACTCGAGTCGCTCCCTATCCAAGTAGCGGCGAACTGCTGTCACTAGGAAATCGTAGGACTTCTTGTCGGTCCCTTCCTCAGCACGATGATATTCCTGCAAGTCGTGTGCTATTGCTTTACTGGTCTTGACTTGGTTAAAGAACAGAGTCTCCAGAATGCTAATCTCAGGAACCTTGGGGATACCAGCCATCACTTGATCCCAATTGCTGATAAATCCACGTAGGTTGTCACCCTTAAGTTTGACACTGAACAAATCCTGTAGTGAGTAGGTCGCTCCATGTTTGATGTTGGTACTGAAATGTTCATGCATCATAAACAGTACTTGCCGGCCCCTCACATAACGATGGTTTGTTGCTTCAGTCTCTTTATAAGTGTCAACCTTTCTCGCAAAATCACCTGTGAGAATATTGGTGAGCGCGGACAGCAACTTGGCATCCAATGTGGTGAACTTGCCTACGTCACGAAGAGCTCCAATTGTTTGGCCTTCTTTCCAGGTCTCACTTATCCAATCAAATGCTTTATCAGGGTCAGTGGATGCCGACATTACAGCTTCCCTTGTACGAATCCTCCAATTTCTATATGATTCCGCATGGGGAAAAGCTGGAACTTTCACAGTGTCGGCTTCTTTGACCTTGTTCTTTTCATGTGACTGGTCCCTGGAACTGCCGAACATGGCTCTCATGCGACGGATGAAGCGATGGTCACTATCATCAGAGTTGTACCCATCCCCGTCTCCATCATCATCATCACCGTCCCCAGGCCCACCTCCCGGTGGGCGTCGGCTCCCCGAAGGGGGCTTCTTCCCACGATTGTCCTTACCACGCCTGCTGTCACGATCTGCCTGTGAATCCTTGTCATCATCTGGAGGGTCAGGTCCTGGTGGTTTTCCTCCGGCATCCGATGGTGCAACACTTGTTGGTGGATACGTTGGGGACCTAAGACCGGTTATCTCAGAGACAGGATCCTTATTATCCACTGGTGCATTTCCATCCGGGTCAAGCATTTCCCATATATCTTGGTTGGGATCCGCTGGTTTGGATGCACTTGCTGATGCAAATGATGGCAACGGTGCAGAATACTTGACCTCAGTGGACGGCGGTATGACGGCAGTGGCGGTTTGGACAATTGGAATCGGCATTGGGCCTGTTGTGTCAAGGAGTTTACTCATCCTCATGTTCATGGATTCGGTTTGCAACTGTTGGGCCTTTATTTGCTCACTTTGTTGCTTGATGATGGATTCGAGTTGGGACATCTGCAGTCTACGGTGTTCATCTTGGCGTTCATAGTGATCCCTGAGCGACTGGATTTGTTGTTCCTTCGTTGCATTTGACTGTCTGGCATTTCCGTCTAAAACCCTTTTATATACTTCCCCTTGTTGGGCCAATTCTTCACGAAATTGATTTTCCCGACTCTCTGCGAGCAACATCATCTGTTGCATCCGGGCACTCGCAGCTTGTTCTTCTGCATGGAACCTACCGCTCATTTCGGACATCATCGATTGCACCATATTTTCAGTGTTGGCCAAGGCCTCTCGATGACGTGCTTCGGCAACCTGCTCAACCATCTGTGTAATTGCAGGGTCATGTGAATTCACGTACACTTCATTGTTCTGCACCTGTCGTAGATTCATGGTGTTATTCACTTCAGTCATCTCATGGTGGTGCACCTCGACAGTGTTGGATTGTACATGATGTGAGCCGGTAGGCATGCCCTCCCGGGATGCGTGAAAGTCATATCCACGGTGTGAAAACCTCTGGGCTCCACTTTGGGGCACAACGGCGCCTGGTGGAAGCGGGACACGGACCTCACGTTTATCACTGCGGGAGCGTTCCGAAGGAGTCTGGGAAGTTGTGTGACTTGGTACGTCATTTCCAGTTTGGCCACTGCCTGCATCCTCAATCGCCATGGCTTGATGAATCCCGGATTCACGCGAGCCCTCTGGAGATGGTTTTCCAAAGGGGGCAGACATTTAGCTACAAAAGGAAAGTATCTGGCGATACGGCTGATAACCTATACTTACAGGTTAATCAACCAGATAAAGCCAGCAAAGCCGCACACTGTTTTTGTCTTGAGCCATAAAGTCATGGATATACAAAGTACACAATCAGGCGTAACTTTACAGGGAGGTAAAGGATACTATACATAAGCTTCATGTAAAAATAATATATAATTAAAAAAAAAACTGCCATTCATGGCGACCATTCCAACATCTTCCAGCATTGCTGGGAAGGGTCAATTTTGGCATCGTACCCCGGCCACATTGGAATCAGCTTTTCGGCTTTTCGACTCTCAACTGGACCGGGTTCAGAGTGTTTTTCATGATTCAGAACTTAGGCAGAGCGTTGTGAACATGTTCAAAAAAAACAATGATACCCTCTGATTATTTAACATAGCCATGGAAAATGGCCCATTTATAGATGGTTTGTTATTAAAATGGTGATTTTCCATGGCTATGTTAAATAACCAGATGGTAATTGTATTTCTTTCTAGATAGGATCGGTTGACCTTGGCTAAAACGGGATCACGCACTTGTGTCTGTGGTTGACATTTATGCGGTTGTTGCTCAATCAGCTGGTGTTGGAAGTACGTCCTTTTCGATCATGGTCACCCACCCTAAGCCAACACATCCAGACTAAGATTTTGAGACATCTCAGGTAGCTTCCACTTTCATCCATTCGGCTTGTCCGAAACTTGGGCACCACAAATGGACTGGTTTAGAATCCATCATATTTTGCCCGGTACCTAAAATCGCCTGTTTTCAAGGACAGGGCCATGGTTCCACTATGTCCCACTATGTTCCACTATGTTCCATCGATTCCAGAGCCATAGATTTCGTTTCATCAGTTCCGGTGGAAGGACTGGCCTAAACATTTCTTGTCCCTGATATATTCCCTGATCAAAGACGAACTTTTATACCTTCTGTCTTGCTCCAAAATCAACTGCTCAATTGGATTGGTTGCGTCTCAAGTTTCAACTGATCTTGTGTTAAACAATGCGCAGGCGCTTCAAACTTGGTCCAGGTGCCCGCCTTTTTTGGGCGATCGATTTGTGACTGTGAGACCGACTATCCCATCCTTAGGCGTTGCCGAGGAACAATCTTGTCCTTCAAGCCCTGCCAATCCCAGCGTCCACTGGGCTTTCGCTTCCTCGTGCGCCGGTTCCAAATCGGGTCCATCGGTGCCATCGCTTTCCGGGGGATCTTCGGAGCGCAGAAAATCTCATGTCGTGATTTCATGTGCATGATTTCTATCTTGAGGTAAGTTCAGTGAACCAACACCAACATATCATCCATATCATCCATATCATCCATGCATCTGGATTTTTTATGTGCGTGCTCTCTACTCATTCTGACCAGGTCTTGCAACCAGGTTCAATCCAGGGATTCAATGATTCCATCAGCCCCTTTTGCAGAGACACTGAACGATTTTCCCAGGCTTCCCAAATTTCCCAGGCTTCCCAAAAAAAATATGCTGCCATTTTGTTGGGAGAAACATCTCTTTTTCTGTTGTCCAACCAGGTTTTTGTCGAAGAATCCAGAGGTCAAACTGCAGCTGGCCCTTGCTTGCTGGGCTACCTGGCCCAGAGAATCGGATCAGTCCCTGATGCGAAAATGGATGAGAATCGATGGGAAGATGATGGTAAATTGATGGGAATATGATGAGAATATGATGGCAAATTGATGGAAATTTGATCGGAATATGTTGCCAAAGCTGTGTGTGGTGAGAATATGTGAGAATTAAATCATTCGTTGAAGTCATAAAGGTAATATGATGTGAGCAATTCTATTATTGCATAATTCCATTCATCACCGATCTTGTATAGCAATTTCTTCGGCACTTTGACTCACTTAATTGCTATCCCATAGGATCCATGTATGCTACATATGGTAACATTTACCATCAATATACCCCCAATGTTAGCATATATACCAGCACCATGGATCCTATGGGTATTGGTATTCTCCCCCCACGTGATCCGCCGCACACCTGGGTAGGTCTCATAGGGCCCCTGCAGCTCCGCAAGTTCACAGGAGGCCTCGCAGGCGGCGAAGTAGATGGTCTCGAAGATCTCCTCGTTCAGCTCCCGCGCCTCATCCTGACGGGCAAAACGAATGACTGGTTGGTGGTTGAGCCGCTCCCTACCCTCGTCCATTAACTATAGTTACCCTCTGGTTATTGAAAATGGCCATTGAAATAGTGGATTTACCCATTGAAAATAGTGATTTTCCATAGCTATATACTGGTTGGTGGTTGACCTACCCCTCTGAAAAATATGAGTTCGTCAATGGGAAGGATGACATCCCATATATGAAATGGAAAATAAAAAATGTTCGAAACCACCAACCAAATGATCATGTATCATTCACACACCAAAAAAAATGGATGGTGACATACCAGTGCGGCAGAAAATGTCACGAGAGTTCATATGAAAATTCATGAAGACTGTGCTTCCTGATGTTCTTGTGGTTTTGTGCAGCTTAGATTCAGATCCATACCCATGCCCGCACCTACCTGCATTAACCCATCTGCATTAACCCATTCTAATTCCCATCCATTCTGAATGGTGATATCAGTCATGTGGTGATCTCTCTACTCTATCCAGAGGCTCCTACTGAGAAGCAACGATCATAGCAAATCGCAGGAGGTTTGGATCCACTGTACGCTGTATCTACAACACCTATCTGACCTATCTCCAGCCGCCCCAAGTCGCATCAAGTTTCACTCTCGAAGGGCAGTTTCATCATGAGAAAGGCATCAGCAAGACCTGTGGCGAATGCCCAAGACAAGGGTGTCATTCACATTTTGTGCTGCATTGAAAAATCCACCAGCACAGTCGTTCTGTGCCTTCATTTTTCGAAAGGCAAAACATGACATCTCTTTCAAGACTGCTAGGTATAACGAGCAGAAGACTGCCATTCCAGATATTTCCTACAGTACATCTTTCGCACGACAAAAATCGTGACGCAAAGGCTTTCTTCAGCCTAGTCATCCAGAGACGTCCATCAACAAGTTGAAATATGCAAACATCTTGTGGATTGATTTTCAGACATCGGCACGAATCCATGTTCATCCATGTTCTACCCTCTGGTAATTTATTACAGTTTGCTATTGAGTCAATGTCCATAGAATCGAAATAGCTGATTCACCCGTTAATCATGGTGATGTTCCATAGTTATAGTGGATTTTCCTATTGAACATGGCCATTTATAGTTGATTTACCCATTAATCATGGTGATGTTCCATAGTTATGTTAGTTTACCAGAGGGTATCTCTCAAACTGCAGCCCTAGACAAATCATCGAAGCGTCGCCTTGCACTCCAAGTCCGACTGGACGGTGGCGCATGTTCGAACGCCGAGCTTCTTCCTCAGAGATTGCACCACAAGATCGCCCCAACCATTGCAATGGGCAACCTGAACTCACCCGTTAACCAGTTGATCATATTATATATATATATACATTATATAATATATATATATATACACCCTAATACAATCTGTGTGTTTGTGGTTGCAAAGTCTTTGAACCCCTGAAACACATGTTTCGCAAATTTACAATTCCACACCCAAAATGTCAGCACAAAATATCTCAAAATTACAATAAAAATCACACTAGTATACTTCCATCATCAGTCCCATGGATTGTGCTAATCCTCAATATGTAGAGCATAGTAGAACTATGTATAGAAACTATAGCCCCAGTCCTATCCCATTTCTAATCCCATCCACGAATTTCCCATATTTGGATTCTGACAATCCCCTAAAAACATTGGGTTGTTGCTCCACCTTCAAGCTAATCATCAACAGTTTCAGGCATCAAAGGTATCCATCATTGATAATTCATACCCTCTAAAAATTGAGAAAATCGCCATTTCTAATCCCAGTTCCATATTTTCTAATCCCAGTATCCACGAGACTTAAATAGCTCATTCAAATCCAGAATATCAACATGTCTATGCTAAAATCCATCCATTTTTGAACCAAGTCGATGTAGACATCCCCAAAGAGTTCGATGATTTTTCTTCCAAGATGATCAAAATAAGCCAAGCATCCACGGGATAATAATTTCGATCAATGACTTTGTTCAAATTCTTGGTGACGACCTTGGTCACCCGGTGCAGCTGCTCGAAGTCGAAGCGCCCACCGTCGGCCACGAAGGAGGACAAGGCGATGGACGCCAAGTTGCCTCGAGCTGCAACAACTGGAGATCCCCCACGAAAAAACGTTGGAACAGCCAGTAGTTACCCTCTGGTTATGACTCACATAGCCATGGAAAATTACCAGTTTTAATAGGTAAACCCGGGAAAACCATCTATAAATGGGCCATTTTCCATGGCTATGTTAAATAACCAGAGGGTAAATGAAATGATATGCAGGTATATGTAGGTATGATCTTGCATTCTTTGGATGATCATGAGCCACTATAAAATGTGGATTGGAATATATTTACAGTAATGTTGGACTGGAATGGGCTACAACTGGATTGTAATGTTGGATTAAAAAGCATCACTTGTTACGAACCCAGTAGTTGGATTATAGCCTCACTTCCAAGAGAATTGCGAATCAATCTAGTTTGAAGCTCAAGCTGGTGGACAGTTCAATCAAGTGGTTGGTAGTCATAGTTACAGTAGTCAACTGATTAGTTTCAACATGTTTCAACCCACAAACGAACCGAGTGCATGATCATCCTGGACATAAAACAGAAAATGCCAGACATTTCTCCATTGCTCCCTATGTCCTTCTGCGTTTTCACTTTTGACCCCTATGAACTATTCATTCACCACGTTCACCATCATTCAATCAGCTATTCCCTGGAAGATTCATCTGCCGATGTTTGCCTAGCTGCATACGGCCACTTCATCCGGGGAGGTGTACTCAATGATCTCGGTGCAGAGGTTGGAGCAATGAATCGTGCCTCGGAGATCGGATTGATGACATCCAAACATGGTGATTTCATGGGATTTCATGGGGAATTGACCCTCTGGCTATGTAACATAACTATACATAACTATAAAATCGCCAAGTCATATCAATAGCGAAGTGGAAGAAAAACATAGAAAAACCATGTTTCGTAAGTAATGTTAATACGTAACATGGTGATATGTTCGAAATACATGGCAATTTTTCCATGTTTTATCAATGGTACATGGTAAAGATGTGTAAATCCATTGTTTTTTGCTGATCCAACGATCTGGTCCAAGGAGCCCAAATTCTGCTGGTTGGATTTCCTGTTGCAGTGGTCCTTGTAGAGCATGTAGGGTGTGCCTGGCCGCATCAAAATGGCCACTAATTGGGGTATCCTCCCATCATTAAAATGGACCGATCCACATGAAGGAAATCTATGGAAATCCCATAAAATCTCCATCGATCATGTTCCGAACCCTGTTTTTTTTTTCACCTTTCCATTCCCTCTCAGTTGCCTGTCTCCATCTGCGCTTCGAGGATCCGGAACCAAAGGTGCTGGGCCTTGATGGTTTTGCGACCCTTGCCATCAGCCTCCAACTTTTCATAGAGCCTGAACCATCTAAACCATCTAAACCATCTAAACCATCTGAACCAGTCGGAGAGCTGGGCACAGGGTCCACCCCCAGGGCTTGCGCCAACTGAGTTGCAATCTCTAAGCCAGAAATCTTGGGCTAGGATGAGAACATATCTGGTAGCTGGTGTAGTCCCATCCCTTGGTAAAAAGTCGGACAGCAAGTTTCAGCGCTTAGCTTAGCTAAAAGTTCATAGACTCGCTCCAACTCCGCAAGAAAATCATTGCAAAACTTTGACAAGTAACATTTAAAATCAGCAGAAATCCTGGAAACGCATTTTTCAACGCATCCATTTTAGTTACATCATCACATCATTGAGTCATCCCTATCATCCAGCCATCATCCAGCCACGGCTTCACCGCCACAGCCGGCCTTTCGAAGTCTTCGCCCCAGAGGTCCATCAAACCTTTGCCCGTCTCGCTGTCGAAGGCTTCGTTGGGACAGAAGAGGGTCCAGTCCTTCACCGCAGTTCGGTCTCGTTGGTCGCTGTCGAAGTCTCGTTTCAAGGAACGTCTGTATTATGGCGATATAGAGAATTATCGGATATTATATATATGATATATTATATATATATGATATAATATACTATTGGGTAATTTTATGATAATGCAGTAATCTGAAGAGTAAGGCTATTTTGGGATACTTACCCATATCAACCAGACATAATTATTGCAGTTTCCCCAAATGTCTCGCTGGCAGATGGGAGCAAACACATGTTCAAAAGTGGTGATTTGGCCAATGAACATTTGAAAATGACCAATAGATACCAATGGCCAAAAAGCACCACCAGGTAATCCGTCGATTTTCTCGAAACTTGTTTGGTCACCCCCATTCATCTACTTAACCGACAATGGTCTACCCGTAGTCTACCCGTGGCTCCTCGTTCTGCTTCACTCGCTTCATGAAGAGGTCGGGGATCCACAGGCCGAGGAACAAATCCCGGGCGCGCTGCTCCTCCTTGCCGTGGTTCTTGCGAAGCTCAATGAAGTCATAGACATCCGCATGCCAAGGCTCCAAATACCTCAGCTGGAATGCTGGAATCGACAGTGGCAAACTGGTTTTTTATGAAGCCCCCAAGATAGCAGAAAACGATCATATCTTGAGGAACTTCCAAACACAGACAGTCTTTCCATACATTATACATGACAGCAATATAATATATACAATAATATGTGATAATATATACATACATCAAACTATACATCAAACTATACATCAAACTATACATCAAACTATACATCAAACATCATCAAACTATCTACATTTATATACCAAGACATCCAGCTCGTTCTCTCCCTCAATCTCCGTCCCAGATGTCCAACGTCCCAGGCACATGGCGAAGGATCCCTTGCGCTTGCCGCCTCCCTGGTCCACATACCTGGCCGTCTCGTTGAAGTTCCGCAGCATCGGCACCAGGCCGTTGCTGTGGCCGTTGGTGCCGCGGATGTAGGAGCCACCGGCGCGGACGTTGGAGATGGCCACACCAATGCCTCCAGCCTTGGGATTTTCATGGAATTTTGTTGGAGAAAAAATTGGGCTCCCAGAGATAAATGTCCGGCTGGATGTTGTTTCTGGCCAAACATTTCTGGCCAAAAAATTAGGTGATTTGACGTATCAATACATTATGTATATCATCCAGTTTGTGAAGATACTGGCATGTGTTGCTATCAGTGTTGCTATCCGTGTTGGCGTGTTGAAGCAGAGGAACTGATTTGGAGATCAACGCGCATTGCTTCAAGGTATCATAGATGCCCTCAATGCTGTCCTCTTTCATCTTCAAGAGAAAGCAAGAAGACATCTGAGGCTTCGGTGTGCCAGAATTGAAGAGAGTCGGTGTGGCATGTGTGAAGAACTTCCTGGACATCAGGTCATAGGTCTCCACAGTCGCTGCCACATCACCACAGTGGATGCCACAGGCTGCACGCATGATGAGGTGTTGTGGCCTTTCCACACTCTTTCCGTGCACACGGAGAAGATACGACTTCTCCAGGGTTTTGAAACCAAAGTAGTCGTACCCAAAGTCACCTGACTCGCTGTCACTTTTCTAGTGAGTCGCAAAAGAGCAAAAAAAACACGACGATGTTCGGGATACAACATGAGCCAGCAAGAACCAATAGTACAAGTCTATTACAAGAGGAGAGAAATGAATTACAAATCAGACAATCATCAAGAATGATTGTACTGGGTCCATTCTCTAGTCGAGATCAGGACGGTCTCCTGGTCCTAAGACCCACGACAAAGGGGGGTGACAAGTTGGACGTAGCCAAGTTTGCGGAACCCAGGTAGTTACATACGGTGTGCACCAGGAGACTCGCCAAACTAACGATTTTGAGCAGTTTCTGAACCATACAATTTTGGAGGGTCAATCATTATGCCATAACTATAAAGCCTAGTACTATGCAATACCGCATGTATATCTTTTGGTCCAGTGGCGTTTGTAGTCAATGGCCTCATCCAACTGATCTGCATTGGCTTTCACAGACTCGAAGACCTCTTCGGACAAGAGAGCCTTGGATGGAGAAACTCTGTCTGTGCTATCCAAGAAAAATCGTTAGTTTGCCACCATCCTAGCAAATCCATCATGAAAGTGATTGTTCAAACCAGAACTCCCTCTTAAAATTCATCCCGCACCGTTGCAAGCTTGGGTGCTGCTGGTCGTCCTTGCTTGTCCTTGTAGTTGTACAGGACCTGGCAGGTACAGTACGTGTCAGTTGGTTGTGATCATGTTCGAGTACCGGACACTAGCACACCTAGGAAAAATGGCACTCAGACCCAGAATTGCCATTGTAATAATGCAGAACATGACGTTTTCAACCAATGGATTTTGGATGTATTCTCCCATGTTCTGGGCAAACCCATAGAATTCATGCTAGGGTTACAGTATCTACTAGAAATTTAACCATATCATTATATAATTTTACACCATATAAGATGACTACACACCATCAAAACCACCCGTTCTGCGGACGTTTTTCCCCCCTTTTCAGCCCACGGAGTCTCCACCTTGCAGGTCTCGTAGAAGGACGAGGACGTGTTCTTATGCAAATTGGACACTGCAATGCCTCGCAGACTCGCTGACTCCGGCTGTTTTTTTGGCGCACAAAACTCCATGGAGTGGATTCTTGATGGAAAAATATAGGAAACCCCATGTGTTTGAGCAATAGAAGAGTGTCCTCGGAATATTCCCCAAAACGAATTCTGGGAACTTCACAGGGTCAGCAAAATGGCGATGTCCAACAACCGGGATGCCTCTGGATTTGTGAAGCATGGCCGGCAAAATGCCCATATTCAAGATGTTTTCTCACAAAGCCATATAGAAACCATGGACACCAAAAGACATTTAATGTTGGGGATTATCATCCATGAACACTACCATCTGGTTATTTAACACCATGGAAAATCACCATGTCTAAGTTCGGTAAACCATCTATGTCGATTAGGGCCATCGAAAAACCATGGCGAACTGTTAGTCATAACCAGACCGGGTAATATTAGTGGATGTCCCTTTTTAACTCACCACTCATATCTATTGACCTGGCGATTGGATGCCCATCCCCCTTTGGTTTCGGTTTCAGCCGAGTTACGTGCAGCCAAGATGGAGAAGTCGGGATGCTTCTGAGACATGTAAGCACCTTGAGGCAAGGGGCGTCCATGGAGTCCATCAGATTCAGATTTGGTGTGAGATAACTTTATGGTCATCCCAGCTCCTCCAAGGCGAGGCATTCGTCACCGAAAAAAAAAATCTCAGTCATCCGTATATATATATATATATTAATATAAGTATGTATATATATATATTTTAATATATATGTATATATAAGCGGATTCAGAACAAAGATTCACAGATGATATCATATGGTCATGCATGTTCCCTGTTTTGCAAAGGTGACCAAACATGAACAGAAGTGGGTGCACACCGACAGAATCCCAACCATCCACAAAACACCAGTCCGAGCTACACGTCTCCGCTGCCAGAGTATCCACTTCCGCTGTGGAAATGCCGTTGTAGAACCCTGGGATCATCGGGATGTCAGAAATCCATTATGAAAATCGATGTTTCCAGATGTTTCCCATTTACATCATTTACATCCATCATCATCCATCCAAAATCATCTCGACCAAAAAAACATCTCAGCATATCTCCAAGCATTTCTCAACTCAATGGGAAATTTTCTCGGCAATTTCCGGAAATTTCCCCATGATTCCTCTGGGATTTCCAAAAAAAAAAGGCTCCCACCTTCGATGACCTTCTTGGTCACCACCACTGGATCAATGTACTGGGGATCTAAGCCTTGGGAAGCCACGGCTGCTGAAAGCACTGATTGTGGAATAGCAAAAAAAAACGTTGAGAAATAATTATACATATTATGTGGAGATAGATATTGTTCCATGTACTTACTGAAATCAAACTAAGATATTGGTAAATGAACCTCTATATCTTTTTGGGACCTTGCAAGAATGCTTTTACACAGTCTTGGTCCCGATCTGAAGCGACCGACGATGATTTGATTAAATCAAAATAGCTTGGATCCAGTTGATCTGTCTGATTCTTCAGCGTTGCAGTATGCAGGGCATGTCAGTGATGGTCCAGTTGGAAAGTTTCAGGATCACGGTGAGTTTTGGAAACAGCTTAATGTGGGATTCACCCATTGCCATAGACCTACCATGACTGGGGATGGTTTCAATATGTTCCAATCCCATTTCATGATATTTTATGGTCATATTGAGGATGAATTGTTGCTGGGTTGACCACCTTATTTGGCAATTATGTTACCATTTACCACATGAAAACGCTGGTTTATTGTGGATGGAAAACTGCGAAAACGCGCTAAAACGACTCTCCCGTGGCCGTTCCTGCCGTTCCATCTTCATCCGGGTCACCATCGCAGAGGAGTCGAAGGCGCTGAGTGATGGAATCGAATTTCACCTCCTGTTGGCTTCCATCCCGCTTCACAACCTCGGGTCACGGAGGACCAGCCATTGATGTGGTCTAACTGTTGTTTAGTAGAACCACATATGAACAAAGCCACCGGATTTTTCGATCTCAAAAGGGATTCCAATATGAACCATCTTGGCTTGTGGGAACTGTTCTTGAGACCCAACAGGGCATGTGACTGGATATGTTGCAGCTCTCATAGCATTGACATGCCAAACCCATGCCCCTTGAGTTCCAGTCACGTACATCTGCGACATCTCCGGTGTTGGAATAGCTTTTGGATACAGCTGAACTTTGGCAATGGCTTTAAGCACCAAACGGCTGCAAAAAAGAACAGGTGGGTCCGAAGCAATGGGGGTTGGCTGATTTTTGAAGGGGAAAAAGAAAAAAATGCTGGTTGACCATCATCTTCCCCAATAAAGAACACTCATGTTATGGGTATCGCCCATTTCCAACACCCATATTCTCAGATATGTCTCTTCAGTGCCAAGAGCATCTGCCGAAAAAAAAAGTGACCGATTTCCCACTTGGCAAAACCAGAGAAAAGATCCGGTGATTGGAAGCGCGGGTTTTACTTCGCTTACACTTTACATATTTTTAAGATGCGTAGGTCGTCTATGTTTTTCCACCCAAAGAATGTGAAGTATAGTCGTGAAAATATACCACTATCACTTACCTCATCAACCCTTAAAATCACATCAAAATGTAGGGCTGGTTGGTGGTTTCAACTGAAAAATATGTGACTTCGTCAGATTGGATCATCCCAAGTCTTGGGCTTTCCATAAAATTCTATGGCTCCAAACCACCAACCAGTAGGGGTTTCCATAAAGTCATGGGGGATCCCCAACTAAACCCCATGGGTTTTACCAAGGCAAATGGTCCCTGCCTGCCGTCCCCACGGTGACGCTGAGCCGCTGGGTGGACACACACCAAGGCAGCCCCAAAGATGGCCTCAACGAACGATGGAGAAATGACGGTGAGGCTATGGGAATTTATGGTACTTTCATGGGCAAATATCACACTAAATCATCACATTCAAGTCGAAAAATGACCATTTTTATGGGAAATGGGAAATTTCATGTGATTGAGTGTGCTGTGATGTGATTTGATGCGAGTTGATATGATTCTGGTGATCAAAAAAGGGAAACCAAGATTGGGAGATTTTGTTGCTACCCTCCGGCAATCAAACGTGGCTAGCTGGGAAATTCACTATAAATGGAGTTGTAAATGGGATAATCGAACTAAATGCGTTTTTTTTTACCAAACCATGTGAAAAATTACCAGAGGGTAAGTGGGAAAATGATGATACCCTCTGGTGATTTAACAGTTTGCGAACTGTAACATTACAATTTTGAAGAGGTAAATCATCCAACCCAATGGGCCATTTCCATAGCTACATTACCGGAGGCTACATTAGAAATGGTTGTTTATTCACTAAACCAAGAAAAAAAACAAGATTTGTACATGATTAGTCATGATTGATGATAGGTAAGCTGGTGTTTTTTTGCTATCCCTCAGGATGAAACCGCCACACAGACTGCGATCGCAGTGGTGTGGCTACGGCGGGGAAGTTTCGGCTGGCCAGATATGGGAAGATGTCGTCAAATGTCTGTGAGACTTTAGATACAGTAACTTGAGATAACCTAAACATCGATAGCACTGAAAATCCGACCTGTTGAAACAACCTATAGTCGTAATATCTGTAGTTCATGTGGGTCATGTTGATCTCATTTCAAAACGGAGTTCAAAAATCGGGCGTTGCCAAGTTTGAACGGCTTCCCCCAGATACAGTTCCTTCACATGTGGCAAGGTAATCGTCATGAACACCCGAGAACCTTCCTCTATACTTTCATACAACCCATCAATAATTGTTGGATTCTCACAAAACAGGAGCACCTTGAAACAACCTAGCCAGTCGTAGTCTGCTTCAGCATCAAACCATCAAACCACAAGTGCCAAGTATACTTGATGACAAACGCCGAAATAAATCACATTTAATCCCACTTCAGGCTCAATTTTTAGTCTCAGTAATTGTTAGAATGGATTTGGGTCATCTCTTCCTTCTGGGGCGCTCTGATCCATGATCCATAGAAGCATCTAGAATCAACTATTTCCATCTACAATCTAGAATCATCTACCATGGATAACTATTTGTGGATGGTAGAATCTAGAATCAACTATTTCCATCATCTACCATCCACAAATATCTTGTACCCCAGAAAAACTGCCCAGCTGACCAGCCCTCTGAGTCCCTCTGACTGCACAGGCAAAGTCCAGGCATCTTTGGGGCCCCGTAGGTCCCAGCCGCGCAGGGTGCCATGTGCCTCAAGGAGATCAACGATGAAGCTCTCTACTAAAACTATTTCTGGTATCACCAACTGTGCACCTATTAAAATCCCAATGAAGTTGATATCAAGTTAAGTTAGTAATCCAACATCCAACTATATTCTTGGGGAATATTTCATATATATATAATATGGGGTAGCAACCAACATAATCAAACCAGTTACAATTAATAATCCCTTGTGGCCCAAAATAAAGAGATCCAGCACTGATCAAACCAGGGGTCGGTCTTTGGACCCTGCGGCGCCTGCGCGAAAAGAACCAGGGATTCCAGCTCTGTGTCCAACCTCAGGAGCTGCAACTGTTGGCAATTGATGTGGTAAACCCACATAAACCTCCCACAGTGGTTGAAAAACTGCCTATTTCGGATGTGTGGGGAAGCGATTTATGGTTTGGGGAGGGGTACCATATGATCATATGATCCACAAATGCGATCTGGATCTGGATCCCAGCAGATGTGAGATGGGTAAACCGAGGGGTAAACCTTTCTCACCCGCAGACTTTGGGTTTGGCACTGATCGATGAACATCACGGCTCCTTTTTCCTGGCTCGAATCAATCTGACCAACCAGGGTAACCAGTCTGGGTCAGTTCAGCCTGGTTCGATGTCACATCCCAAGCATACTGTCAATGGATTGGTTTAAGGGAAAATCTACAGGAAACCATTGGCCATGGTTTTTACCATCAAATATAGGGGTTTCCTGTAAATTTTCCCATCATCCAATTCTATGATACTGACATACAACGGAGGGTTGCAACATATCCAACCACCTGGGGTCACAGGATCTACAAAAACGCCAGGCAGAAGAAGGCCCCTTAAGAGTCGTGAGGAACATCAATTTCTGGTTGGTGGTTTCAACCAACCCCTCTGAAAAATGATGGAGTGAAAGTCAGTTGGGATGATGACATTCCCAATATATGGGAAAAATAAAAGCCATGTTCCAAACCACCAACCAGAATTTATATCAAAACCAAATTTCAAGCTCACTTCGCAGTGGCAACAATTGCTATACTCCATAGTTGCCAGAACTATGAAATGAAGTACCTTTATAGGGACAACTTCTTTCCCGCATCACAACTTTCCTGTTTCAACAGCTCTCATGTCCACAACACAGTCACATGAAGGGCCCCATTTTTGGACTTCCCATAATGGATGGGACAGAAGTTGACGTGATGACGTGGGGCATTTTCCTGAGTTTTTTTGTTCATTAATGCCACCTACTATGAACTTTTCTAATGATTTCTGGTGACGTCCTGGGCGCCGTCTGGTGAATTTACTATGGAAAATCATCACCATGTTCTAGCTGGGTAAATCCACTATAAATCGACTGGGCCATTTTCAAGTTCGCAAACCGTAACAAATAACCAGAGGGTATGGTATACTATGGTATACTATCTGGTTGGTGGTATACCTACCCCTCTGAAAAATGATGGAGTTCGTTAAATAACCAGAGGGTTGCCATTTCTTGCCGGATGACAGAGCCCTGCCTGACTTTGGCAGCGGGAGACCAATTTGGCACCACTGCGACTGGATTCCACCTGGATTGGTCGCAGGTTTCTGACGAACGGGGCGCAGTTTCGTGACAAATGATCAGTAGATTATCAGCTCCTGAAAATTTTAGAACATCATCAAACTTACCCTCTGGTAAACTAACATAGCTATTGAAAATGGCCATTTATAGTGGATTTTCCCATTAAAAATGGTGATTTTCCATAGTTATGTTAAATTACCAGAGGGTACAGTAAGTATTTAAAACAATCACCTGGTGGTGTTAACCATCTTGAAAAAAAATCAATGGGAAGGATGACATCCCATCATGTTCCAAACCACCAACCAGTCACCCTCCATTGAAGGCCACTTGGACCCTATCCAAGTGTTTTCCGTTTTTCAGTGCCACCAAGGCACTCGGTAGAGAAGAACCTGGTCATCACTGGCCGTGGCAAATGCCTCCCGCTTTGGCGGTGGAAAAAAATGTTTCTGTCGAAGATGGGAAAGACCAATATAGATCAATATTCTACAAAACTACCGGGAAAAAAAAAACAAGCACTAACATCACTAGAACAATATGCAATGGCACCTGTCAAAACCCCAAATGATGTTTTCCTGATTGCAACGCAAAACTTGGTTGGTGCCATCAATGGTCAAACAAACATTCCTATCCGTTCATTATAGTTCGATTAAACCATGCCCATTAAGAACGTTTGGTTAGTTTAAGAACAACAATAAATCCCCATTATATCCCAAATAAGATCCCATTAAATCACCATTATATCTCCTAACGACACCATGATATCCCCATTGTATCACCACCGCAACGAGCGCAGCCCATTCTCCTTGGAATTGCGGATGGTTCGCAAGGCTCTGAGCCCTGATGGCGAAAACTCCAAGTTGCCAAGGTGCGTCAAACATGAGCTATGAACAAAATTGCCTCGTTGATTGGCTATGAAAATTACCCTCTGGTAAATTAACATAACTATGGAAAACCACCATTTTTAATGGGAAAATCCACTATAAATGGCCATTATCAATAGTCATGTTAGTTTACCAGAGGGTAACTAGCAAATTAGTTATACACAGCCTTGGGAGTTGTCCTACCTGACTTGTTGGGATGAGTAATTGTAATGGCTCACACCATTGAAACAACCAAATGTTGGGTGCAAATAAATGATAATTTGTATTATATATATATACATGATTATATATCCGCCGACCCCGGCAGACGCAAGGGGGAGCGCGCCAGGGAATAAGACATTTGACTCTTGTCGGACTACTACTACTGCTGCTACTGCTACTGCTACTGCTACTGCTACTGCTACTGCTACTGCTACTGCTACTGCTACTACTACTACTACTACTACCACTACTACCACTACTACCACTACTACCACTACTACCACTACTACCACTACTACCACTACTACCACTACTACTACTACTACTACTACTACTACTACAACACTACTACTACAACTACTACAACACTACTACTACTACTACTACTACTACTACGACGACGAGTTTCAAAAAAGATGTCTGGCTGTTGGTTTCTCGCCTTGGAGGCTGGTTGATGGCACGGCAGGAGCAGCAGCAGCGCAGGAACAGCAAGAGCAGCAGCAGCAGCAGCATCAGCGGAAGACAGCACCAGCAGCGTGGAGCTGCAGCTGCCTCCGTCCTTCACTGCTATGGTGTTTCCCTGTCCGGGACGCACGTTTTTGCAGCAGCCAGCAGGCAGCCAGTACTATACAGTACTATATATAGTCTAAGATTTTCTAGGATGTATAGTCCAGGATTCTCTAGGATTCTCTAGGATTTCAGAAGACACGTTAGGCACTTTTTTGCTGCGATTTTGCGCCATTTTTGGCACGAAATTAGGTGGTGTTTTGCTGTTCCGAGTGAATTTCGAAAAAGATGTCTGGCTGTTGGTTTCTCGCCTTGGAGGCTGGTTGATGGCACGGCAGGAGCAGCAGCAGCGCAGGAACAGCAAGAGCAGCAGCAGCATCAGCGGACGACAGCACCAGCAGCGGCAGCTGCAGCTGCAGCTGCCTCCGTCCTTCACTGCTATGGTGTTTCCCTGTCCGGGACCCACGTTTTTGCAGCAGCCAGCAGGCAGCCAGCAGGCAGCCAGTACTATACAGTACTACATATATTCTAAGAGTTTTTCTAGGATGTATTCTAGGATTCTCTAGGATTCTCTAGGATTCTCTAGAGAAGACACGTTAGGCACTTTTTTGCTGCGATTTTGCGCCATTTTTGGCACGAAATTAGGTGGTGTTTTGCTGTTTCGAGTGAGTTTCGAAAAAGATGTCTGGCTGTTGGTTTCTCGCCTTGGAGGCTGGTTGATGGCACGGCAGGAGCAGCAGCAGCGCAGGAACAGCAAGAGCAGCAGCAGCAGCAGCAGCGGAAGACAGCACCAGCAGCGTGGCAGCTGCAGCTGCAGCTGTTTTCGTCCTTCACTGCTATGGTGTTTCCCTGTCCGGGACCCACGTTTTTGCAGCAGCCAGCAGGCAGCCAGTACTATACAGTACTATATATAGTCTAAGATTTTCTAGGATGTATAGTCCAGGATTCTCTAGGATTCTCTAGGATTTCAGAAGACACGTTAGGCACTTTTTTGCTGCGATTTTGCGCCATTTTTGGCACGAAATTAGGTGGTGTTTTGCTGTTTCGAGTGAGTTTCGAAAAAGATGTCTGGCTGTTGGTTTCTCGCCTTGGAGGCTGGTTGATGGCACGGCAGGAGCAGCAGCAGCGCAGGAACAGCAAGAGCAGCAGCAGCAGCAGCATCAGCGGACGACAGCACCAGCAGCGGCAGCTGCAGCTGCCTGCCTCCGTCCTTCACTACTATGGTGTTTCCCTGTCCGGGACCCACGTTTTTGTAGCAGCCAGCAGGCAGCCAGTACTATACAGTACGCTAAGCTTTTCTGGGACATATAGTCTGGGATTCCCTGGGATTCTCTAGGATTTCAGAAGACACGTTAGGCACTTTTTTGTTGCGATTTTGCGCCATTTTTGGCACGAAATTAGGTGGTGTTTTGCTGTTTCGAGTGAGTTTCGAACAAGATGTCTGGCTGTTGGTTTCTCGCCTTGGAGGCTGGTTGATGGCATGGCAGGAGCAGCAGCAGCGCAGGAACAACAAGAGCAGCAGCAGCAGCCAGGAGCGCAGCAGCCAGCAGCAGGCAGCAGCAGCAGCAGCAGCCTCCGTCCTTCACTGCTATGGTGTTTCCCTGTCCGGGACTCACGTTTTTGCAGCAGCCAGCAGGCAGCCAGTACTATATATAGTCTAAGATTTTCTAGGATGTATAGTCTAGGATTCTCTAGGATTCTCTAGGATTTCAGAAGACACGTTAGGCACTTTTTTGCTGCGATTTTGCGCCATTTTTGGCACGAAATTAGGTGGTGTTTTGCTGTTTCGAGTGAGTTTCGAAAAAGATGTCTGGCTGTTGGTTTCTCGCCTTGGAGGCTGGTTGATGGCACGGCAGG